GACAATGCAAAGGCATGTCTCGATACGTCACGCTAATTGCAGTAAATAAATTTAAAGACATCAAATAAAACCTGATATTCGTTCACTATTATACGTCCTATCTGTTCATGGAAAAACAACGCACTGCTCGAACAAAATTCCACATTCGCATTTGCATCAGGGCAATACTATAAATATAAGCTTTCTGGACCATCATTTTCTGCAAAGGCATTTGCTCTTTCATCTTAATGAAAAGATAGATGGTTTTCATGAAAGGTATAAAATGATTCGAGCAGTTTTACTTTGCCTCTATGTTAAAGAAAAAAAAGTGACAAAACACAGTCATGTATCAAACTGTTATTTAGAAAATTGCATGATACTAGTTTCCATCGCAAAACGAATCACGTGCTTTAACTGTTCATACGGTGCTAGCATTATTTGCATGACTTAGTTTTCGATCATTAGTTATGCCTATCCTTAATGGATTAAATTTAAAAGTTCGAGCCTTCTAAAATTTCAAAACAATTCGATAATAAAAGATCAACCTCCAGAGTTATGCATTCCACTGCAGTTCTCAATAACAAATTCCAAATACGCTCGTAATTCATCAGAATTGATGGAGTAAAAATGATATTTAATGGAAATGGTGGTTTATAACGTACTTTCAGGTTATCCTCCTCATCGAATGAACCTTAATATGATAAGTAAATAAAGTTATATCAAAGATCCGAACCATGTATCATGAGGAACGACGCAAAATTACTGGAAGGATGACAGTATATAAAGAATAAACATTTAAAACCAGTTCATGCTGTTTTCGTCCTACAACAAACCCCTCAGCTTAAAAAATTGCTTCGAGTGACCACAACTTACTTGTTAGTTCTAAAAATCCATGCACAAGAGTTGAAGAATAATTCTTGGTTAAAAGATAATCTGTCATATTGTCTAACCGGAAATTCTGACAATTTGCGTATTTAAAATTCAATTCCGAATCATCGCCGTTTAGTAAAAGGCTGAAATAAAAAAGGAAGTCTTTTAAATAGTTTCACACTTTCGAATTATGGCAATCTTCTTTAAGAAGCATTTAGAAGATTCTTTAAGAAAGTAGAATCATATCCAAGACAGAAAAGACGGACTAAATGACCTCGTGAAAATTTCTGTTATATGTTCATCGTCGCATAAATAAACATCTTGAAGAAGCTTCGCAGTTTGTTTGAAGTCATCGATTATAGAACACCGTGCGAATGTGGCGTGTTGTGAAAGATAAACTTTTCTAAATAAGACAAATTAAACAATTTGGAAATTATTTCCAAAAAAATTAGAAAACATTTGTCAAACGAAATTTGAGAAACCTTGCACAAAATAAGTATTTAAATTGCAGAATTTGGAATCGGAAATTTTTTGACTACCAAAACTTTGGCCAGAATCAATGAAAACCATAACATTTTTTCAATCAGTTAATCACTCATCCATTCAGTGAATTTGTAATAGTGCAATCTTATATAAGACTTCCTCAAATTCGAGTGATAGTACTTATTGACACATCCCATTTAGTCCATTTGCTAACTAACTACTATAAAAATCACTAAAATTTATGTTCTTTATATACAGCTTACTGGAAGTAGAAGTCCAAAAGTGATCCTACCGCACCCAACAAATCTGAGCTTAGCGCTTTCCGAATCTCTTCTTCCGACAGTTCACTTATCAATTTATTCTAAAAAAATTTGTTATATTATAAAATTTCTTGGAATATTAAAAAAAATCAAGTACAAATAGATGGGGAAATAATTTAACCATCTTCTCTCCTTTTCCTTCTCCTTCCTCTTAGACTAAAAGCGTTCTGAAATTGAAAAAGGGTGCAGTTTATACAAAAAAGTCAATTATTATTGTTATAAATCATTCAGTTAGAGCATTTTCTTTATAAAGGAAAAACTGACAATAGTAACGCAGTTCGATTCCTCAGAATCCATATGTTTCAAATTTGACCAAGCTAACATTAATTTTCGAAACTTTCCCTCAGATAACCACACGTCGACGAGATTTTTGGCAATAAGCATCGATGCTTCTAGGTTAATAGATTCTTTTTCTCCAGAAACTGAAATAAGGCGTTGTAATCTTAAGAATTCAAATACTTCATAATCATTGCTACGTAGTTAAAATCTGTTTATCTTCAACAAATTGAAATTCCATAGAACTGAAACTTCACAAAATTAAGCAAATTAACAAGCTTTAAAAAAAATGCTGCCAAACCTTACGTACCTGTCCACTGTAGCATTTCACTATCCATTTTTGAAAAAGAAAAAACACCATCGCGTGGATTCGCTTCGCCTTTCACTAACCAAAACAAGACACATCTATAAAGCTTTTAAAAAACAAAGTCAAGAAAGAAAAAACTCGCACGAAAAAACACAAAATCATGGTCTTTCAACTACTTTTGACTAAGAAAATCTTTTAAGAATGTTTATAGTCACTTTCAACTTTATGCATTCCTAGTTTAACAAATCATTTAAATTTCCATTAGAGAATGAGGAGACAAATTAATTACTCAGCATAATATCGAAGAAGTACGACAAGGACATCATCACAAAATTCTCTAATAGCTGGAAGTATTCGTCCTTTCGTAATTTTCACGATATAAAAAATATCTAATAACGTCTTTGCCTGTAAGATTCAAAAAAGTAACCTAATTAGATGTTAAAGTGGATGTTTATCTGGTTGTTTTAATATGTTAGATTACAGTTATTTTTAAGACATGTTTTCAACTTCAAGTTCCCACGAAGAAAATAAATGGCTGGAAGTGGGTGCATTCGGCATTGTAAACCAATAGCTTAGAAAAGACTATCAGTAGATGCGTAAGGTACGAATGTCTTTTAACGCTATTATAATGGAAGTTCGAATAATCTTAAGTAGGGTATATGAAATGACATATCCTACTGACATCTTGAGCATAAAATATTTCACAATTGAATGTTATTTTTTACTTAAACTTTAAAAACCAGCATAAATCAAAAACTTACATCTTGTGCACCGATATTTTGTACGTGAAGAACTAAATCGACGAAATGACTGAAAACGCTGCACATATCAAGAAGTTCTCGTAACAACCTTCGAATATTTTCGCTATCACATTCTTTTTTGGCATCAATATAGTGTCTAACTTCATCACTGAATAGAATAAATAAAAAGTAGTAGTCCTAAGGAGAAGATAAAGTCATTAATACTTCGACAAATCAAAGCCCATTTGCCCATTCCATCATCCCAAGCACAACAGTTCTGCAGATTGCGCTTATGCAAATAATGAACACAAACAACTCCGGTTACAGTATGGAGAAGTATTGTAACCGAAATTAAACATTCTTTTCTACAGCTTCATAGAAATTGGCTCCATCAAGTTGTTATCAAATGCCAACCGAAACTTCCACAACCGTTCAGAAGCACACAACTTCAAACTCAGCAACACTCTTGTTCCTGCATTTTCCTGGGTTTTACAATCTAAGATTGAGAAATCCTCCACGGAATCAGAACCATGAACGAATTGTTCCAAAGAAAGCAATCTAAAAAGATTCTGCAAAAATGTTTTCAACAGGAAACAAAATATTTATGACATTTTCAATAACAGTTAGTTATTAGTTCAAGCTACTACTCAATTTTTGCTTCAGAAAATACAAATCATATTATTTTGGTATCCTCCTCTCTTGCCTATATCTCATTTCGCACGGTCATTTAAAGTATGATCAGATAAAAAAAGAAGCCATTACGATTATCTATCTTAAGGGCAAAAAATCGTATGCTTGCTTAATTCGTTATTTGAAAGTTAGAGCAAACGAAGCATTGCAGAATCACCTGTTAGCAAATGTCAGAAATGGTAATGCTAATCGTGGTAACAAATTGACATCTTCCAATTCCAAAAACATTTTATTTCTTTTAGAGATAATAAAAAAACCATCCTGAAAACAACATTGGATGGAAGAACGTGAGATTCTATAAAATTAAAAAAAAAAGAAACTCTCAAAAATTCACACGACTATAATGAAAGCCGGGACCCGAAGAAGTGAGTCAAATTAGTTTTGTTATCACCTTTACAAAAGCAAGCTTTTTCAATGGAATAAGATCTGTTATTTAAATAAATGAAATATAAATAAGATATGCTACTTAAATAAAAGAATAAATACTTAAGCAAACATCTCCAACCATTAACTACGGCCTAGATTAGAAATAAGTATAATAGATTAGTACAAGACAGTTCAACATATTTTAAAAAAATTTTAGATGTGACTTACAGCATTTCTGCGAAATAAAATTGATTCTTCACCCATTAATACATGTGCTAAACATCTGAGATATTCGTGCCATGAAATCTGAAATGAAATAAAAATTTACAGTTTTTTTAAAATGAATCTCATTGTAGCGTTTTGCTCTTTTTAAACAGTTACAATTCTACAATAAGCTGAACTTTTTTGAATGCTTTCGGTGAAAATCAAAAAGGAAAAAAAACCAGCTATGGCGCAGTAAACATCCCAAATTTTATAAATTTCAAAAGCTAGATATAACTAATTACAATGTAAAACACGTCCCCAATTCTTAAATTACATAAGCTGCGCAATTCTGGATCACATGCTCGCGGATGTATACGTCCTCTTTCATCGATGACGATACCTCGAACCTTTTCATAATTTTCAGAGCATTTCGAAGGGCTTATATCTAAATGCTTATAATTGCCCAATCTTTTCAATCATTCTTCAACAGTTTATCCTTCAGCAGCAATAGGGTACACTGCTAAGATGAAAAGTTGATTGACAATAAAAAGTATTAAACAATACCGACTGACAAATGCAAGCAATGATTCGGATTTTTTTGGTTGTCTGCTTTGTTCTTAAAAGAGACCAACAAGAAATTGTGACAAGCATGCAGACACACCAGAATGCACAGAATAATAAAAGTACCGGATGGATATTTTATGTCCGAAATATTAAATTTAGTTATACCGATAAGCTCTGTTTTTTCTTCACTATGACATGGTTGATTTTCAGCCGCGATCTCCTTGTTGTCTTCGTAATGCGACTAAACATTTCATCATATTAAATTTTTTTTTTTTAATTTCATAATTCTTATTTGAAGCAAAAAACAAAAAGAAAATTGGAGTGGAAAATCAAAATTTCCAGTCAAATTATTTACCTGGTAGGTAATAAATGGTATATTTGTGCGATCGGTAAAAGGCCTTGTCGAGGTAACCGTATGGTTTTCCGAAATCTAAATAGGTTCAAAGAATACAGAGAAATTGAAAAGAACTTTCTGTAGTTAGCACACAACTGCACTTATTGAAAAACTATGCACATAAAAACAACAACACACGATGAACGTTAATGTAGAGTGAACAGCATTGACGGTATACTTCTAATAAGCTATATCTAAGCAGTTTGTGCTTTGAAAAGTGTATTTTACATTATTGCAACAGCGGTGATCTTACGGTAAAAAATTACAAACAAACTCAATTTGAAAGAATGCAATGATAAAATCATTTACAGCTGAAGTTGGCAGATAGTTTTTTACAGTTTGTTTCCAGACATTAAGTATTTGGGATCCAGAACAACAAGGCGAAGTATCGGTTTGACTTTTATCAGCATAATTGTCATCAACCCTTGACAGTAGCAGTAAGAAACGCAGTATCTCTTCACTTGAATCGGTTGCCTCACGAAGCTTACCTTAAATAATTCACTCATTACCAAGTAATTGATTACAATTTGTAGAAAAATTAGTCTTACTAAGTAACAAAGTGGTACTTCCTTAACCGCCAAGAGTGGAGCTATAACAGAAAATAGATTCAGTACATTACATTAGTCAAACTATCCGACCATTCAGCACAGCACGGTTGCCAAAAAGAGTCTTAACTATGCTGTTCAACAAATCCGTTCTTAATTTTGTTGGTGACTAAATATCCAAGAAAATTACGAGACATACTTGTCAGTGAAAAAAATTTCTTGATCCGATATTCACCATCATTTTTGTTAAGTACGACTATCGCCTTATCAATCATAGATTGCAGAGGAATCTCCTGAAATTGATATATAAAGCCAAGGAAAAACGACGAATTTTTCGATGGATCGTATACAGGATTAAAGCAGTATTTGACAAAATTAAGCAAAGAAAATGGCTGGAAATTCAACAAAAAATCTGCGATTTCTCGATGTACTATCATTACTATTTCAAAAGCTACTATTTTACAAATTTCAAAAACGAAAATATTGCCTCTTCTTGCTTTTCAAGCGAATTCAACAATATAACCTCGTAAAACTGGGCACGTTCCGAACCGGTGCACGGCCGACCTATTAGTGAACTGAGTAGCAGCGTAATTCTACCCCATATTGAATCACCTTCTAACTGAAGAGTTTCATTACGGTACATTTTTCCTAAAAACATTTATTGTGATTAGTAAAAATTAAAATTTTCATGCATATCTTTTATTCCTTTTTTCCTACATTGCTTTTCTGTAAGCAATGTAATACATGACGTGACATTTTCAATACTCATATGCGTTATTTTTTAAAAATTTCTTTCAAAAATAGGTGACGTTTTCAACGTTCATTTATATCATTTTTTGAAAAATTTGAATTTTTTTGAAATTTTTCTCTACAACGTAACACATGGTTTTTTGAACACCCATATAAGACATTTTACATAACGTATTCAACATCTTTATATGATATTTTAAAAATTAATAACGTAATACATTACGTTTTCAGCATCCATACACGTCATTTTAAAAATTAACAACGTAATACATTACGTTTTCAGCATCCATACACGTCATTTTAAAAACTAATAACGTAATACACTTTTTTTTTTTGAAAAGAATGTTGTACCTGTAATGCATACAATTTTAAACCAAATAATATTCAAACACAACAAAAAATCATAACATAAAAAATTAGTACTGTTTATTGAATAGAAGACAATAAAGCATTTGTAGTTTTTTGTTCCGGAATGAAGTTTCACTTTTCCGGAAACTATATTCACTATTACAAGAAAAAAAAAACACCATACGATTAATTAATTCGAAAAAAATGAAAACATTATATTCCTCATTTCTTCATGAATTTTTTAACACTTAACATTTAACACGTTAGCGTCAATTTCCTGATTAAATCGGAAAATTTAAACACAAAACGGAATTTGCATAAACCGGAATGAAGCGTTAATCCTATTTGATATGAAGCGATTAAAATCAAAATGCAAATTTCGCGGCTCTTGTCGAAATTGCAATAGGATAGGGCGTCTCCTAACACGAAAACATCCGAACGCGGATGTATGGTAGTGTTTGAAATTGGAAGATGGGAGGGTCAGGAAATCTCGGGAATGTTGGATTTGGGGTTTCGTTGGTTTTTTTTTCCTTCATTCTTCTTTTTATCTATTTTCACTGGTCTAACGGTATGTATTCCCCATTTTCGATCACTATTTCATTTCGTTTCATTTCAGTATTTCTCCATAAGAATTTTGTTTTATTTTTGCCTTCTATAAATGTAAAGAGATATTCAAACGTACGTCTTAAGTTAAAACAGTTATACATATATACAACGTCTTAAATTTTAAACATTCACATCTGCATACGTTCACATAGATTTCAGAAATAAATTTGGCACAATGATCATTATGGATCTATCTTTGATCATCAACACACTTATAATATTTTTGAAATCATTGTTAGCTTTTAATACTTTCATTTCTAATGGAAGTATATATGTCGGTTCAAAATTTTAATATTAGTAACCGATCAGTTTTACTTTTTAAAGTCACCAATGAGCGATACGACGACGAATGCACCAGATGTGGAGGATGAGGAAAGTAATGAGAATTTAGTAAGGGACTATTTGTTACATCAACTTCAACTGAATTTGCTACATGAACAATGGCAAGGCAAACCACATGCTGAAGCTGGTTAACTGTTTTGCTTTTTTAAATATCAGTTTTGTTATTTAGAGAGCTGCTATAAAAAATTAGTTGAAGATTTGAAATCGCTTCATATCTTATCATAATGCGAAAAAAGAAAGAAAATTGATGGCGATTAGGTATGAGTTAAAGAGTTACGAAATATATTCCTGGTTGAGTTAGCGAAGCTGGGAAGCTATAAAGCTTTCTCATTGATTATCCCATTAAGAAGAATTAATCTAAGTTGGTGCGACTCAAGCTAGATTGAACTAACAGCTTGTAACGTGAGGTGCTTTATTGCATTTGAATATACCAGTGTAGACATTTTTTTGACTTTTTGGAGAATGGTGTAAGTTCTTTTTGGTTGTCTCAGATTTACGGAGTTATTTTTTTCCTATTTTTTGAAATTTCTCAATCAGAAATCGACTGCTTATGAAAAAGTTATGATTTTCAACAATGCGTCTCAGTTTTTAGTTGGAGGATTAATGGAAGCTAAAAGAATAATGCAGGAAATGGAAGATGATGTTGTGAAAAAATTCATTGCTTTAAATGAACAATATGAACGAATTAATGGCAAGTTCATCAGCATATTTAATTACACAATCTTCTTTTACTTTATTATTTTTTACACTTTATTTTACTTTATCCCAATATAACTAGTTTTTCCTTTTCCTTTTTTTGAGTTGGAACAATTTTTTTATTGGATTTTCAGGATTAATAGACCCGGATAAAATGTACGAACTAGAAAACTATCAGGAAATGGTATTTTTCTTCGAATTCTTTTTTCCATCCATTTGCATTAGACAGTTTTATTTTTCAAGTTTCGACTTGTATTTGTCTATTAATAGTACTATGTAACGTTGAGAATTATCTGGAATATAGCTGTTATATAAAAAACGTTTCGCAAATTATACAAGAATGTCTTTTAGTTAAAAGAAATTGAACATTTATCAGTTAAGCGGCAGACTATTTTGGATAAGTTCGGTGGTGATGTAAAAGCATACATGGTAGATCATCATGCTCAAGAGGTAGGTTTCGATTTTTTTTCTTTTTGTTTTTTGTTATGCATTGTTTTGCCAGGTATATTAAATTTTGATTATGATGTGGGGTGGTTACTTCAAATTTCTGCTTCCCTTTTATTATCTTCACTGTTCGTGGCTTCCTTGATGCACCCTAGAAATATAATTTTCCATCTCCCAGTCATTGCTATTACATGTCCCAGTGAAATGTTTGGGCCAACTTGGTGAATTTGTCGGAAAAGTTCAAAAATATTGCTAAAAGTAGTTGAACGACTACTGAAAAATTATAATTTATAGGAGCAGCTGGCAAAGCTTAAAACTGAAGTCCAAAATCAGAGAGAAATGATTGCCATGCTGAATGCCCGTATATCAGAAATTAATTCTAAGCTGCAATCTCCTTAAGTTTCTTCTATATTTGATTATATGATGGTTAGGTTCATGGAAAAAAGCTGTTGTATGGCATTGCAAGGCTTCGTCTTTTTTCCTTTTTCCTTATATGAACAGCTGACCTCTACTTGTGTTTTAATAAATACTTGAATTCGTTTTCAAGGCTTTATAGTTTAGTTGAATGATTTATTGATTTTTGCAAACGGAGTGAAATTCATTGCTACAGAGAAGAAAAAACTATGTTGATAAAAATGTGAATATTATTGTTAAATATTCATCAATTCACATGAATGAATAGAATTTTGCGTGATTTATTCGATCTGAACATTCGCCAATGGTGATGATGATTCCGTGGATGCTGTTGGTGTTTTCGTTGCGATCTGAAGTTGTGTTGGTGGACACCTGGAATAAGTGGCATTGGCAGCTGATGTTGATGTAATTCCATCCATGGATGTCGTTTGCTTGGATTTCACACCAGTCTCTTCCCAATCATAGATATCATCCCATTTTACATTCATTTCAAGCATTAACTGGAATGAAACAATGCGCTGAACATCTGGAAAAGTGGAAGAATTGATGCACGATTTGGCATGTCGAATGGATATATTGTTGGAAGTGTCACTCTTCCTATCTACTATGAATTATAAGTTAAGCTATAGATCAGCAACTGATTCGTTAAGATGCATTAACGATTAACCCAATATCGTGATATTTGACATACTCAAATTCCATCTTTGAATCAATAGCGCAGAATCAGAAAATGTATATAGTCGGGTTGAGCAAGTTCTAAGGTTGTTACCTTTTTCCACTAGTGAGCTTTAATAATATCCTTAATCTTATTTACCGTATTTCTAATGAATTATTCTTTTTAAGGTTCCCGTATACTTGAAATCATTAAAACGATGAATAAAATGGATTTTCAATGTGCTCAATGTGCCTTATTCGTATTATGGCTTATCTTGAGTTCACACAGCACATAATCATTATGCATTGCTTACTTAAAAGTAACAAACACTAACTTTTTCAAACATATACTGAATTTGTTCATATGGTGGTTCACCATCAAGCGTAAGTCCATCAATCATCATGAATATATAATCAAGAATGGGAAGTGAATTTCTGAAGAATTTCTTCCGTTCATTACCCAATCGAATTCGTAATTTAGCTCTATACACCTGTTCTTTCAATTGATTTTTTTTCTCCTTCATTCCTTCAATGTGGGATAAGTTGGAAATTTAATGAAATTAGAATTTAATACTATAAAAGTAAAGATGAATTGAACTTTTTTTTTAATAATCAAAAATTTAGCATAAGTCTGATATTATTGCTGTACATTATATATATATATATATATATATATATATATATATATATATATATATATATATATATATATATATAAGTAAGTAAGTAAGTAACGAAGTTAAGAAGTAAGTAAG